AAAAAAAACCCTAATATCTAATACAATAAATGTTTCTTACTTTTATTTCGCCTCTTGGCTTGGAATGCGTAAACCTCGCACCCCTAGTTAACTGAAGGAATATATCATGTGAATCCATATCTAAAAATATTTCGTTTTACTCCTTTGATAAATATATTTGCCGGAATATGCGCGCCTACAATTTTTTTTACCTATTTAGTTAAATTTATCAATTAAATCCACGAATAGTGGTGAAACGATTCCAGTAAATAAAAGTATATACTCGATAGTTTTCGATCGTTACCAAGTAATTTTGACATCGATACTTTTGAACCAAGTACTGACTAGGTATCGAAAAACAAATACTCGTATCGAAACCCGATACTAAAGCAAATTTGGCTTCGGCAATTTTTCCTCCATATTTAATCCGAATATGGAGCGACAAAGTCCATATAGTGCAAATAATACACGCTCCAATCATAATGCAATAATACAAGGTGTTATTGGCTAGCAGCTTCTCGCTCTAATTCCGCCATATTTGCTGCGTTTCTTTATACCTTCCAGATAATCCCATTTCACAGCCGGAATAAACAGAATGCGTTTGAAATATACGTTAATATCATCAGGAACGTTCTAAAGAATAAGTAAACAAACGAGTTTATTCCAAACATTCAGAATGAATAAAGAAATGCAGCCAAAAAAGCAAATTTGGTTTAAAAAAAAATATGAAATTTTGGCTGCGCTTCTTTATACATTCTGGATAATCCCATTTCACAGCCGGAATAAACAGACTGCGTTTGAAATATAAGTCAACATATCATCAGGAACGTTCTAAAGAATAAATAAACAAAAAAGTTTATTCCAAACGTTCAGAATGAATAAAGAAATGCAGCCTTTATGTTTTTTTCCTCAAACGGGATTAACTTCCTCCCGTTTTTCTTCTTATTCTACTGAGCTAAGGCAGTATCAAATCGAGCTGTCACAACTGATAACACCTTGTATTATTGCATCATGCGCTCAAATTGCTTCACCAAAGTCGATGTAATGCGACGTATACACGGCCCAACTGTTCGAGTGGAAGAGTGGATGAATGTTAAGTAAAGACGTTCCAACGTGAAATTAAGCTAACTGGGTAACTCTACGGGTTTGACGCGCGTTAGCTCGTGAAGGCCTTGAACAAAATGCAAGGAAATACATATGCGGAAAAGACTAGCGGAAAATACAAAATGTAGTGTGAGCCTAGCTCTGTTATTAAAGAATATAATCAAAGAAGAAAAATAGTAGGGTACAAAGAGTTGAATAAAAAAAAATCTTGGAAAAAACTGAAATATTCCAGAAAATTTAAACACCATCTTTGCATTTAGTCTGGAGAAAAGTAGATGTCAAATAGAATAATTACTCCAGTTTCCAGTATCTAGATACTAGAAAATCTTTAATTTTTAAATGATTTTAAGAATTTCTTTTAGTAAAATTCATCCGCATCATTTTGTTTCTGCACTCTTCACACTTCCTATTGTATGTGGAATTCTACCAGGTGAAGTAATAAGGACTCATTTTTACAACTATCATATTTAAATCTTTGGCTCATAATTTTTAAAAGCCTATATTCGTGGGAAGTACAATAAAAGAAGGCTTTTCCTCATAAATATTTTATGAGCATATTTTTCCTTAAACCAGATTAACTTTCTTGCAATTTTTTCCAATGAATTATCTGTCAAATACCATTCATCATTAAACATATAGGCCCCTATTATGAGTTGCATTCGATTTTCGACTGTGGTCGAAAGTGCTGAGCGAACGAATTTTCATTTGGTATTATGGCGCTCATTCGATGAAGAATAGCGCTATTGTGAATTTCGCTCGTTTAGGTTGTTCACAATAGTATATTTTTCACCGCTGAGAAGCTTTGTTTACAAATCGAGCAAACTAAATAGTGTGCTTATACATATTTATGCAAATTTGTTCTAATTAAAATGAAGTAAAAAAGAAAGCAATTTTATAAAAACGTGGTAAAATGAGTACAACGAGTTCTGGTTCAACGATTCGTCAGAGGATGAGAGCTTAGTAAACTGGCCAGGAGTAGCAAATGCTCTCTTAAACATTTAAGTGTATTAATCTTTCGAATATATTTTTATATACAATATATTTAAGAAATTTGTCTACAGATTCATTAAAAAGTTCCGACCATCTAAAGAGGCGTTTGTGAGCCAAATCTATTTAAAATATTTTAAAACTATCAACAGCGCTACGATTTTGTTCTCAGAGATCGTGCCAACAGAGCATTGGGATTTTCTTTCACAAGTAAAACCAGCCTTTCGAGCTTGTGTTTAGTATTCACGATGTTAGAACTGCATGAAATTAATAAAAATTGTTTAAAATTAGTGTCTAGCCGCCAAAATGTAAGAAAACATATACAAAATCATACATTTTTCACAATTTTCTAACACTTCGCTACACCATCGAAAGCAAAATTCTGTTCGACAGAAAATTCGATACTCAACGAAAATTTCGACACGCTTGCATAGCTCATAATACGAATTTCACTTTCGATCTTCGATCTTCGATAGCCAGCGAAGATCGAAAATCGAATGCAGCTCATAATAAGGGCCATAGTTTTGATTTTAGGATTCCTAAATTTGTGTCATAAAATAAAAAAAAAATACTTATTAAGTTCATAAGAAATACCTTCATAGCCAAAAGTATCGATATATGTAAGTAGGTATCGATACTTGAGATCCGATATTTTTCATCCCTATCCATGAAACATTCTCCAGCACGTGCTGCAGAAAAAAAAAAGTTGCACTCTCAGCCAGGGTTGCCACTTTCATAAAGAATAATGGGGTGGTAAAAAGGCAAATTTTTTCTCATTTTGTTAGATTTTTATAAAAGTGTTTTGTTTGAAAAAAACTAATACAAGTTTAGTTCCCGCTATAATAGAAACATAGGGAGGTAGAACCGCTGAGAAACACTTTTAGCATTTTTGACGTTTTCAAGCATTTTAATTTTAACATTTTCTCACAAACTCATACACTATTCTCATTTCCAATCTCAAACAACACAAATTTCGAGCAATTTCATTTTTTTATTTTTAGTTTTATATGATTGTAAATGCTGGCAAAATAAAAAATAAAAAAAATCCTGGCTGAAGAATTGAGAAAACGGTTCTACCTTACTATGTGTATCATGGTTACCGCTTTATTTTTCATAGTTATATTTATATTATAAATGTCTTTTCAAAAGTGTAGTCTACTTAATCGCTTTAATTTTTGAACGCTTTAATGCACTTTTTCTATAAATGTACATAGGATATCTATGTATATCGATAAAAGGCGAACATATCGTGCTCAATTCAAAAATCATTTTACTGGAATCCTGAGGAGCTTTTGATTACTTAAACATTTTAAATGATTCTTTGAATAAAAGAAAAAATGGACAGGTATGTAGTTACACACTATGATTGTTCGTTGTAAAATAGCATACCAAAAATTGCTCTGAAAATTCAAAGTAAAAAGTTCGAGACTTAGACGAAATGTTTATGAATTTTTCTAAATGTTGTAAATATGTGTATTTTTAAGGGTTTGGTTGAAGTGCAACCAATATTCTTATAAAAAAATACCAAAAAAAATGTACTTAAAAAACATTGTGAATATTAAAAAAATTCATAGCGCATTTTTGAGTCACTGTATTTATCTATAATAACTTCAGTTGAAGTTTTTTTAAATGATGAAGTTTCGTAGTCGCCTTTACTTTCATCACTTTCAAATTTGAGATATTTTTTAGAAGTGGATGGCAGATTTTATTTCGTCACTGGCAACTCTGCTTTCTGCTGATTTATCCAGGGCTGCATTGGTAATTATAATGAGGGTGTTCACCATGATCCCAAGAATGATAGAATACAAGATTGCGCCGTCCTGGGCGTTGACTTTTGTGAACCACAAGTAAATAAAGAATGGAGCGATAAGAAGAACGTGTTTTAATTTTGCTAAATGTGAAAATATTGCATTTTTCACCTAATCTATTAGAGAACAGTGAACATATTAGTGCACTCCATTGCTTTGCAATTAAGGCTGCTGCAGAAAACTGCAGAACGCTTCTTGCATCTTGACGGCTGTCGCAATTTAACACACAGCACTTCATTGTATTAGTTTTTACGCAGTCCTCAACTCAAAAATCACTCACAAATTGCAAATTAACACAATTTAAACTGATTTTTCACTTATAATTAAAATTTCTCTTTCGCTGATTTGTAAACAAAGGTTTATTTACAAGTTACCACAACTGTCAGAATAGGCAAAACCAAAGTAGCGGTACCACTGACGGCGCCACCTTTGTTCGCTGCATCGTGCCATGATCCTACTACACAAGATATGAAAAGATGAAGCAAAAGAAAAAAGTAATTTTCTGTCTGACGTTTGCTATTTCGGCGCCATGTTGTTTTCTTTGAAATGGACCATAAGTAAACAAAGAATATGAGGAGGAAGTATAAGGAAAAATATTAAAGCAATTTTTGAGCGCATGTTTGTGCTAACCAATTTATTATTTTTATACATATGTTTGCAACCGATTACCGCGCACTTCATTTCAATTATATTTAAACAGAAATTTTTTTGAAAAATTGCTTTAAAATCGCTGAGATAAACCAAATCCAAAATAAAAAGAATTAAATGAAAACAACAAAACAGAAACAGCAAACTTCAAAATTACGAAAGTCACATACTTTTTTCTCAAACGCTATTGCAAATGGCTGCTTGTCAACCGTCAGATCTATTTTAATTGGTTCATGGGTATTCACAAGGTATTGTAAACTTTCGTATAGTTTAGAAATGGGCATGGGAACAAGGCATATTAAATAGGTAATAGCCAAGACGCATCAATACAAGGTGGTGTTGATTGATAAGCTGATTGGATATTTTTGTCCCTACACTAGTACAGGAGAATATCATCCAAGACGAAATGGCGTAACTCTAGGATGTCAACAAAACGAATTGGCGAAAATGATCTCCTATTTTCAAATTTAGTTTTGCAAGTGCAAGTTTCAACCGCCTAAAAAATCGCGTTGATTTTTGGGAGTTTTTGTTGGAGGCTGCTTTTGCGGTATTTTTTTTTTAAATAACAAGTGAAATTTACAAAAACTGGTGCTGATTTTTTGAAATTTTGTTGCTTACGGTCTCCCGCATTTTATTTCATAAGAAATTCAGCCTGTATGGGAAAAAGTACAAAAATCCGACAAAAAAAAAAAATTCAAAAATCAACGCGCTTTTGTAGGTGGTTGAACTTTACTATGTAGATTAAAATTGTATG